AAGGAATCGAACCCAGGGCCTCATGCATGCAAGGCAAGCATTGTACCACTGAGCCACCTTCCCAGCCCCTGGCCTTGGACTTTGATTCCCCTTAAGAAGAAAATTAATTTCACAGGTGTGAATATCCATATTTAGGCTATATCATTTAAATTTTACATTTAAGCATTTTCATTTGATACCATAAGCTTTCTCTTGTATCAGAGTCAGGTCTAGTGTTTGGTTATTACTTAATAATCTCATTTCTCTGGAGACAATGTACCCATGAGAATTCCTAGTGGTGTAGGCCTTTCAGAGAAGTGGTGTCAGTCCACATGGTTAGCGTTGGAGCTGTTGTGATCGTTGAATTACAGTCTAACTTTCTCTCTTGTGGGCACCTTTTCAGTTTCATCAGGCTGGGGAGAAATGCCTAACGTGCACTCAAAGGCTGAGAACTCGTGGGGAGAACCCTCCTCCCCTGCCACCTTGGTTGACAACGGCACAGCCGCCTGGGGGAAGCCACCCAGCAGTGGCAGTGGATGGGGGGACCATCCTGGTGAGCAGGCAGTGACATTTGGAAGAGCCAGCGCACCTGCCACCGGCCCAGCCCTGTGCAAACCAGGTAAGGCCCTGATCTGACAGTTTAGAAATGTGGGCTGCGGTAAATCAAGTAGTAAAGCACTGCTGGGCACCGGTGGCTCATGCCTGTAATCCTAGCTACTCAGGAGGCTGAGATCTGAGGATTGAGGTTCAAAGCCAGCCTGGGCAGGAAAGTCCATGAAACTCTTATCTCCAATAAACCACCAGAAAACAGGAAGTGGCGCCGCAGCTCAAGTGATAGAGCACTCGCCTTGAGCTGAAGAGCTGACAGTCAGTGCCCAGGCCCAGAGTTCAAGCCCCACGACTGACAAAAAAAATAGTAGTAAAGCACTTGCCTGGCAAGGACAGGCCCTGAAGTGACTCTCTCGTATATCCAAGATGGGAGGAAGAGAAGGAAGGGGGATGGGGGTGGAGAATCCAGATGTGGTAGTGCACATGTATAATCCTGTAATGAGAAGGTTAAGGCAGGGAGACTGTTCCAGGCCCACCAGCCTAGGCTGTCAACAAGACCCTATGAAAGAAAAGGAAAAGAAGGAAAGTGATTGGGTGTTATGTTTGGTAGTGCTATAGGTTGCACATGTTTTAAAATCTGAAACTTTCTGACACTGCGAGTAGAAAAGTCTCATATGAAGTCACTGTCAAAATACAGGTGCACTGTAAGTGTTCTGTATAGGCACCTTCTGCTGTGTGTGTATGGCTTATGTGCAGCACAAGTGGATGTCATGCCTCTGTGGAATCATTAATGATCATGTGGGCATTAGAGGAGTGGCTTGGTTGGTAGAGCACTTGCAGATCAGGTACCAAGTTCAAGTTCCAGTCTTGCACCAAAAGAAAAAAGAAAATCAGACTGGGTGCCAGTGGCTCACACCTATACCAGTATCCTAGCTACTCAAGAGGTTGAGATATGAAGATCATAGTTCAAAGCCAGCCCAGGTAGAAAAATCCATGAGACTCATCTCCAATTAATCACAGAAAAAGCTGGAAGTGGCACTGTGGCTCTAGTGGTAGAGCACTAGCCTTGAGCTCAGAGACAGTGTCCAAGCAGAGCTCAAGCCCTAGGACCAGCAAAAAAAAAAAAAGAAGAATGGGGCTAGGAATGTGGCTTAGAGTGCTTGCCTAGCATGTATGAAGCCCTGGGTTTGATTTTTCAGTACCACATACACAGAAAAGGCCGGAAATAATGCTGTGGCTCAAGTTGTAGAATGCTAGCCTTGAGCAAAAGAAGCTCAGAGACAGGCCCTGAGTTCAAGATCCAGGACTGGGGGAAAAATATTATTTATATACATCATTATGTATATGTTAATATTCCAAAACCGAAAACCGTGTCGAGTACAAGCTCCCGGTTCCCAGCAGTCAGTTGGCTCCCTGCAGATACAGTGCTCACACAGCTTACACCCACTTCCTCAGTGGAACGTAGAAAGCACAGCATCTTTCCTCTTAGGCTTTGTGTTTGAAGATATTGATTAACAATACCCCAGTACTTCTTGCTCATAAACAAAATATCACTTTAGGTCCTCCACATTTGTGCTTAAAACTTGCAAAATAGGCTAAGTCAAGGCAGAGCACTTGTCTAGCACTCATTTCTTATGGGTGTCCAGACTCTGGTTTCCACCTGGAGCATCTAGTGTGCAGCGTCTTACAGTGTGACACTTAACACATCAGTGTAAATAGGAAGATCGCTGGATTTACAGTTGATATTAATCGTTCACAGCTGCAGAATCTTCCCATTTTCTTTGGCTGTCATTAGTTATCCTAGATCTTAAAAGACACTGTTGATTTTGTGTTTTAATACTTTGCCAACAATGGCTCCACTGCCTGACTGCAAGTATTTGTCACAAAGCTAAAAGATCAGGAAACTTCTGGGCACTTGGCTTCATGCCACAGTATATTTTGTTCTTAGAATTTGCCCTTAGGGTACTGGTGGCTTACGTCTGTAATCCTTGCTATTCAGGAGGCTGAGATCTAAGGATTGAGGTTCAAAGTCAGCTCGGGCAGGATCAGGAGGCTGAGATCTGAGGTTCGTGGTTCAAAGCCAGCCCAGGCAGGAAAGTCCATGAGTTTGTTTTTTGTTTTTTTGTTTTTGTTTTTGTCGGTCCTGGGTCTTGAATTCTGGGCCTGGGCTCTGTCCCTCAGCTCAAGGTGAGCGTTCTACCATTTGAGCCACAGCGCCACTTCCAGTTTTCTGGTGTTTTATTGGAGATAGTCTCACAGCCTTTCCTGCCCTGACTGGAGAACCAAGATCTTTAGATCTCAGCCTCCTGGGGCTGGGAAGGTGGTTCAGTGGTTGAGTGCTTGCCTTGTATGCATGAGGCCCTGGGTTCGATTCCTCAGCACCACATAAGCAGAAAAAAAAGCCAGAAGTGGCGCTGTGGCTCAAGTGGTAGAGTGCTAGCCTTGAGCTGAAGAGCTGAGGCACAGTGCCCAGGCCCAGAGTTCAGGCCCCACAACCGGACACCCCCCCCCAAAAAAAAGAAAAGAATAGATCTCAGCCTCCTGAGTAGATAGGATTACAGGCGTGAGCCACCTGTGCACTGGGCCATGAGACTCTTATCTCCAGTTAAAACCAGAAGTGGCACTGTGGCTCAAGTGGTAGAGCGCTCACCTTGAGCTGAAGAGCTGAGGGACAGCGCTCAGGCCCAGAGTTCAGGCCCCACAACTGGCCAAAAAAAGAAGAATTTGCCCTTAGGTTTGTTGGCGCCTGTCTGTGTTGTAAGCATTGTAGTCGCATCATCTTCAGGACCTTGGCCACCTATCATAAGTCTCATCTTGGTGTAGTTCTTCCAAGAAGTAAACATCTGGCCTAACTTTGACACCAAAACTCACTTTGTATTTTTAACAAGGAAGAAAAACATATCACCCCAACATGGAAACCCAGCTGACTTCACTCTGCCCAGGTCTCTGTCCTGGAGTGTGTGGGCATGTCCTGGGAACTTGTCAGACTTCAGATGGCTGGGCCTACCCTCGGCTCACCTGGTCCCCACCAACTTTCTCCTATGACCAAGTTGAGAAGCACTGGTCTGTGTGACAGTGCGATAGGCTTTGCTCAAGTTGTGACTTGAGAATCGTACCAGGACAGCGATGTTTTCCAGGCTTCTCCTTTTGAGTAGACTTTTCATACACTGTGGAGATTCCTGACTCTTAAAATGTCTGTGTTCCAAAATGATGTGTGTTTGGTTGAAGTTGGAACCGCATAGAGAACAAGTAGGTAGAGTTTGAGGTGGAGCCCAGCTACACTTACTTTCCTGTGAATCTGAGGAGTCCATTTGTTCTCTTTGCAGCTTCCAAATCTATGCAAGATGGCTGGGGCAGTGGTGGGGACGAAATGAACCTGGGCCCCAGCCAGTGGGAAGACGAGGACGGGGACCTGTGGAATAATGCTGCCTCCCAAGAAAGCGCCTCCTCCTGCGGCTCCTGGGGCAGTGCCTCCAAAAAAGGACTTCAGAAGGTAGGCAGTGTCTGTGGGAGAAGAATGGACCGGGAGACAGCAGTGCCCGACTGGTGGTTGGAGGGGACATCTCCACGAGTGGTAGACCTGAGCTCCCAGGGTGCTCTTAGGACCCTTTGTCATCCCTGAGACCCTTTGCGTGGTCATCAAGGTCAAAGATACATTATGTTGTTATTGGTGTTTTTGTTGGTCAAAGATACTTTTGTTGTTGTTGTTATTGTTGTTGTCATCATTGTCATCATCATCTTCCTAGCTTGTGGGTCTTGAACTCTGGGCCTGGGCGCTGTCCCTCAGCTCTTCAGCTCAAGGCTAGCGCTCTACTACTTGAGCCACAGAGCTACTTCTGGTTTTCTAGTGGTTAAATGGAGATCAGAGTCTCACAGAATGTCCTGCTGGGATTGGCTTGGAACAGCAATCCTCAGATCTCAACCTGCTGCGTAGCTAGGATTACAGGCATGAGCCACCAGCGCCTGTCTTAACCTTGCCTCTTTATAAACTGATTTAGATCAGGTATTTGTTACAGCAATGGCAAGCTGACTAAAATGCCGCTTTAACTCAAGTACAGAACTTGCTGAAAAAGACAAAGTTTTAGTCCTATAAACTAAACTAAGTTTTAGTCTTATCAACTTCCTTTAGGGCTGGGAAGGTGGCTCAGTGGTAGAGTGCTTGCCTTGCATGCATGAGGCCCTGGGTTCAATTCTTCAGCACCACATAAGCAGAAAAAGCCGGAAGTGGCACTGTGGCTCAAGTGGTACGTAGAGTGTTAGCCTTGAGCTGAAGAGCTAAGGGACAGCAGCCAGGCCCAGAGTTCAAACCCCAGTACTGACAAAAAAAAAAAGTTTGCTGGGTACCAGTGGCTCACACCTATAATCCTAGCTATTCATGACGCTGAGATCTGAGGATCTATTTCCAGTAACTGCTCAGAAAAGGCTAGAAGTGACACTTTGACTCAAGTGATATAGCTAGCCTCAAGCAAAAGAAGCTCAGGGACAGCACCCAAGCCCAGAGTTCAAGCCCTAGAACCAGGGAGAAAAAAAAAGGAAAGGTTTATTTGGATTCACAGATTTGGAGATTGGCCCTGTTAGACTAGCCTGCAGCAGGAACACACTGGGGAGCAAGGCTGCTCAGCTTATCATGGGGAGTAGTGGGGGAGGCGGGGGAGGGAGGGGCGAGGTCTTGTTATCTCCCTAAAGTCCTGCCTCCAGCTGCTGCTGGGCCTGCCCCAGAGGTAGCACCATCAATTCCCACTAGTGTCACTCTGGGGAAGTCTAGCACTGGCCAGAGCAGGTAGCACTGTCTAGAGACACCATTGATCGCTCAGCTGATGTGTGGAAGTTCAGGAGAATCCAGCCACCGCCACACAAGTGGTGCCAGTCCCCTCACAAAAAATGCCTTGAAATACATTTTTATTTGAAAATGTTTTTTCTGTTATTACCAATTTCAATAAAAATTAATAACTTTAATTTCTGTTTTAAATTTAAATGCAAGAAAATATTGGTAGACCCAACTCTTAAGCTTCTTTTTTTTTTTTTTTTTGTGGTACTGGGGCCTACTGTACTCAGGGCCTCATGCTTGCTGGGCAAGCGCTCTAACACTTACTTGAGCCACACCCCCTGCCAGAGAAAGCAGTCTGTTCTCAAAGCAAGAGGAGTGCCTAGATTGCTGGCAGGAATGTAAATTGGCAGAGCCAAATGGAGGAGAGGTGTCATCACCTGTCAAAATGACTGATGTCTCAGCACTGCAGAGCAGCAGCACCACTTGTCCTAGGCATAGCCAATGACATGTTATTTTCTTTTTTCTTCATTCATTTTTTTTTAATATTAATCTTTAAGTAGTTGTACAAAGGGCAGAATTGAGCAGATGAGGCGGAGTGGAGAGACCTGGTGCTTTTGCATCATGTGACTGTGCTGTTCAGAGTTAGCCTATAGGTTTCTTTGCCTAGAAGGTGCAGAGATTATTAGACATGAAATCTCTTTCCAATTGAGCCAGTAGGTAATACAAGTATGGTGGGACTGGAAATGCCAAATTGGTAAAGGAGTAAGACTAATCTGGCTTAGGCAGCTACTTAGTAAGGATTAAACTAGCCTCAAGTAAACTACTTCTTGGGCAAATGTCCATTTTTATACTCTCATCAATTTTATTATGCCATATGCTCCATTATATAGTTACAGTCAGCTGTGTTGCCCAGACTGGCCTCTGAGCCTGGTTTCAGCAATTTACCTCAGCCTTCCAAGTAGCTGGAGCTATAGGAGGACATTAATATGCTTAACTGAAGGATTGTATCCGTATTGTATCAGTAGTTGTCACTCAGCCTTTGTCACTGCAGAAGAGAGGGCAGGTTCTTGGGCATGGTTTGTGTGGTGCCCCTGGCACTTGTAGCCCCCTTGGGCCCCTGCCTAGAATACTCAGTTTCTCTCTCTTTTTTTGTGTTTTTTTTTGGGGGGTCCAGTAGTGGGGCCTGAACTCTGGGCCTGGGTGCTGTCCCTCAGCGCTTCAGCTCAAGGCTAGTGCTCTACCACTTGAGCCACAGTGCCACTTCGGCTTTTTTCTTTTTGTTTATGTGGTGCTGAGGAATCGAACCCAGGGCCTCGAGCGAGCATGCAAGGCAAGCGCTCTACCACTGAGCCACCTTCCCACTTTCTCTCTTTAGTTACCTTTCTCCCCTTTCTCTTCATCTCCATTCTTCTTCTGACTCCTTGTTCTTTCCTTATTTGTCCTTTCAGTCACTGACACAAGCCTTTGCACTTGGTTGTTGTTTGGAATGAAACTGATGAAATGATAGAAACCATGTAATCTTTAGTAACCTTCACATGTCACCGAGTTCAGGGGGCAGTCCTTGTGATTTTTTAAATATTTTTTTATTTTTTGTCCGTCATGGGGCCTGAACTCTGGGCCTGGGCGCTGTCCCTCAGCTCTTCAGCTCAAGGCTAACTCTACCACCTGAGCCACAGCACCACTTCCAGCTTTTTCTGCTTATGTGGTACTGAGGAATCGAACCCAGGGCCTGATGCATGTAAGGCAAGCACTCTACCACTGAGCCGCCTTCCCAGCCCCATCCTTGTGATTTTTTTAATAATGGAAAGAATGTATATTTGTGATGAGCCTAACTATCTCTTTGGGAAAGAAAACTAATTACCCTGCTTTTTGTAAGTCCATTAACTACACATGTTAACCAGCCTGCAAATGGACTCATAAACTACAGCATGATCCATTGTGTGTTTTTATTTTGCTACCAGAGCTCGAACTTGGGGCCTCACATTGTTGTCCAGCTATTTCACTGATAACTGTCTTCTCTGCCACTTGAGTCATTCCTTAGTTGGCTTTTTTTTTTTTTACTTTAATTGGAGATAGAGTCTCAGTTTTGTTTTTGTTGTTGTTGTTTTTTTGCCAGTCCTGGGGTTGAACTCAGGGCCTGGACACTGTCCCAGAACTTCTTTTGTTCAAGGCTAGCACTCTATCACTTGAGCTGCAGCACTACTTACAGCTTTTGTTGAGTAGTTTATTGCAGATAAGAGTCTCACCGACTTTCCTGCCCGGGCTGGCTTGGAACCATAATCCTCAGATCTCAGCCTTGGATCAGTACTTAGGATCTCAGCTTATCTTAGTAGCTAGGATTATAGCACCCAGCTGTTTTTGTTATTTGTATCTAGCTGACTGAACCTTAATCAGGAGGATTAGAACTGTTGAGCATAGAAGCATGCCTTTTAAATAGAAAATGTAATGACTCAACTAATTTTTAATAGAAAAAAACCACAATGTAGGGTTCCAGGAAAACCATACAAGCACTCCTACAACCATTTATGTACAGCGCCAAGCAGCGACAATTCAGTGGAGATGCCAGCTGGGCACTGTCCCAGGGTTTCTTTTGCTCAAAGCTAGCAGTATACCACTTGAGCCACAGCACCACTTCCAGCTGTTTCTCTCTCCTCTTGAATAGGTTATAGGCATGAGCCACTGGCTCCTGACTACAATTCATTATTAATGCAAAAGATTCTATGACTTTTATATCAGCATGCTTTTCAGATGTCTTCCATTTCTAATAGAAATGTATTAGAATAGAGCCGGGCGCTGGTGGCTCACGCCTGTAATCCTAGCTACTCAGGAGGCTGAGATCTGAGGAT